TTAAAATAATTAAAAATAAATTTTAAAAAATTAGAAAAGAATAATTACAATGCAAAGGATATGTTATTTATTCCCAGTTGTATTTTTATTAAGAAGTGTTTAAAATTTGTTCAACTTGAATTGTTAAGCTTTTCAAATTAACATTAGTACCTGGCAGACCACTGGACCAGTCTGAAATAGAAATTTTTAAATATATTTTCCAAAACTCTTGATGTAGCACAGAACCAACTATAATAATGTAAGAAGCTAGTTAACATAATAATAATATAATTGGTATTATAATATAATAATTTACCTAAGTAATTAATAAGAAATATGGCTGACAAAACATTCTTTGTTTTTGAGATCTCGTTAGGAGTAAGACATATATTACACAAGCACTAAGATCACTAGATGCTCGAGACCAGGTCTGGGAGTAATTCTGAAAATTTGTGTAGTTAAAACTTGAATTCAAAAACATGAGCAGATGTTATTTTATGGAACTTACAAACAGTATTTTTAAAATCCCTTTTGTATCATTAGCTCTCTTTCAAATGGTCTCTAAGATCTGTTTTACAATTATCTAAAAAAAAATAAAATTGTTGTATGCAATTTCTTAAGAGTAAGAGGGAAAGTGTAAACCCTAATAAAACCCACTACTTCTCGTTTAAAAGAAACTCAGTTATTATTTGCAAGGGCTAAAATTAGTGGGGGGGGTTTGTTGCTTCAAAATGTGTGATCAAACTCCATTCTTTCATTCACTGTGTTGCAATGACCATATTTGGACCTACTGACAGATGTGAAGGTCCTTTGTGGTGTAAAATGTAAAATACACACTTCAACTTAATATGTCAGGAAAATGATTAGCCTTAGGAAATTATTTTCCCATCACATTTTGGCTTGAAGTATTAATATGTGGTGTTTGATACAGAGAAATAACCAACTTACATATTCATTAGAGATGTGATGATAGTTTAATAAAGATATTATTTTATTGCTCACAGTCTCCAGTCAGTTTTTGGAAAACTTTTAGCTTCATCTAACTTTTATTAAACAGTTGGAAATCCATTCTGAATTGCTTGTTAAAAAATTTACTGTTTTCTAAAATTATCTCCTTTTTCTCTATCATTCTCTCCTTACTCATATTTCCCTTGGAATGGAATGCATTAGTCTTCATTTATCTCTAGGCTTTGGAGAGTTTGTGGAATCCTAAATTCAGTGCTAGTTAATAAGATCAAATCCCCACTTAGAGTGTTGGGAGTCTACAGCTAGAACTGAGAAAGCTCACTCCAGCTTCCTCCCACCGGACGGAAAGTAAGTGTTGTAGACCTATAGTTACGACTGCAGCTTTAAAGTTTACACTAAGAAATTATGTTTAGGTAAAAATTAAAAGTAATTTAGGACCTGATATTTGAACACAACAAAATTCTCTTTCCTCTGTATTTTAACCATTCCACATATGTCCTAGATAGCACTGATTTTTTTTCTCAAGAAAGGTTGCTTCCTTTATTAATCTTCTCCTCTTCCTAATTTTCAAACTCCCTCAACTAAGTACTTTCCTTTTACCTTTATGCCTATCATGGAGATTCCTCTATTCAATCTGTTGAATTCCCCCTTCCAAAGCTTAGCTTACATTCTCTGCTTTTCTCCGTGTTTTCTCCCCTACCACATTCAATAGTTCATTTCTTCCTTATCTTAGCATCTATTCTTTTCTTAACATTTTCTGATTTGTACCCCGAGCCGCACCTATCCTGAGCTTCTTTCTCTAATTTTTCCCTCACTCCTTCCCACATACTAATCTTTTCTACTGTGAATTCTGATGCCCAATTGCTTTTACTTAAATCTTATGCATTCTCAGCCTCATCTGAATTCCCATCTCACTCTGTGAGCCTGAATGGAAAGTTGACTTTTCCACAAGAATACTACCTCCGTCAGGAATATTTTGAGGAAAAACTGTCCCAAATCTTATACTTTAAGTAAGATGGAATCCCGGAAGTGGGGATCAGCATTCTTCTAGATCTGATCTGCTGCCTCCACATTCTTACTTTTCTAATTTCATATAAAATTTAGTCCTTTTATGTTCATATCATTATACTTCCTTGCTGTTACTGTCTTCTTTCCGGGCAATTTCCTTTATCCATTTCCTGTCAAACTTAGGCCATCAGTGACTTCAATGCCTATATAAAAATTCTACATCAAAATTTATTACTTTCCTTTCCTTTCCAAACTGTAATCCATGCTCCACTTCAGAAATTCACTCCCAGGACCAAACCCTGTATCTTTATATTACTCGGAATTGTCTAACATCTGAAAACCTCTACGCATCATTAAATCAGTCTCTGACAATAACCTTCTCGATTTGCCTCCATTAGCCTTGAATATTTCGCAAATTCCTGTTCTTTCATTGAACCCCTTCTCTTCCAGTTCACGGAAAACTCTGCATCTGAACGTGATTTAACAAGACCGCATGATTTCACATGACTAGCGTCTTCCCTAATCTATCTTGGACAACACTTTATTTTTTTTTCTTAAGATTTTACTTATTCATTTATTTGAGAGAGAGAGAAAGAACAAGAGAGAGCATAAGCAGGGTGAAGGGTAGAGGGAGAAGCAGGCCCCCCTGCTGAGCAGGGAGCACGATGTGGGACTTGACCCTGGGGACTCCAGGATCACAACCTGAGCCCAAGGCAGACGCTTAACTGACTGAGCCACCCAGGCGCCCTTGGACATTACTTTAAATGCTTTCCTTGCCAGCCACCCTCAACATCCTCTTTTTCTTTCTACTATTACTGCCCACAGACTTCCAACAATTTATCTGAAGTGTGCTGACGATTCAATCACACATTAGAGAACCAATGCCATCACAAATTTAAGTTCTTCACTTAAACTATCATCTTTCTACATATCTTTGGTGAGCTCTCTCTTGTAGCCCCAGGGTAGCTACTCTTCATTTTATAATATCCCCCAAGCCATTCATTCATTCACCTAGTCTACGATCATCTTCATTTTTTTTTCCTTTTAGATCTCTCTTTCCTTCTCTTGCATCTGGCTTCCACCCTCCACAACTTCATTAACACCAATTAGGCAAAGATTGTTATTCGTTAGTTTTGTCATTTAACAATATTTGTTCTTCTCTTGAATTTTTCTGATTATACCCTTCTTGAAACACTTTACTTTCTTGAATTCTGTTCCTTTCAGGATACCCTACTGTCTTTCAAAGTTCTTTTTGTCATGGTTAACTGGCTCTAGTTCTTTCATCCACTCCTTAAGTGTAAATAAATGTTGGTAACCCCGGAAATGTGATTCTTGGCTCTCTTCTTATTCTTTATATGCTTCTGACAATTCCATTCATTTTAATGGAATCAGTTAAGTGCTGATACTCTATTTTATGTCTCTAGCCCAGACTTCTCTGCTGAGTTTCCAGACCCATACATTCAATCACTTCTATTAGATAGCCATACCTGAATATTCCAAAGGAATGTCAAATTCAACCCATCCTCAAACTGAATTCTTTTATTTCTTTCCCTAAAACTTGTTCAACCTACATTCCTTATCCTGACAAAATATGCCACCATCTATCCACACATTTAAGCCATCTGAAATTATCTTATTCTCTCCCTTTCTTGCATCAACAATATCCAATCAGTGACTAAGTCCTACAGATTTTACATCTTTATATAACTTCTCATGTATCAATTTCCTATGCTACTGATACCTTATGTCAGCCCATTATCATCTCTTTACTGATCTGTTCAATAGCCTCATAAATGATTTTTCTGCTTTTACTGCTCTAGTCCATTTTTTTACATAGCTTCCACAGCAATATTTCTAGGAAAAAATATCTGATCTTGTTCCTTTCTTGCTTTACATGTTTCAATATCCTGCATGATCTTCAGAAACCCTCCCCTGCTTACTTTTGGCTGAACTTGTTTGAAGTCATTTTTCCCATATTGTTTCCTCTGCCTGAAATGTTCTCTACACACGAGGGCAACATTGTTCTAGTTTTTAATGTTCAATTCATTATGTTATCTCTCTTATGAAGTCTTTCTTGAACTAATACCCATACTTTCCAGGTGCAAATGATCATACCATCCTTTATGATTCCACTGTATTCTATACACATAGATTTCTCATTGCACCTGTAATATTATTGCATTTACTTATCAGACTCACACTAGAAAAAGCCTGCAAGGATAGGGAGCTATTTTGTGTGTCCTGTTACTTCTGGGATCTAGAAAAAGACCACATCACCATGCATAATAAATGAGTGTTGAATGAATGTTCAAGTTTCAGTTAAAGTGTTATTTCTTCCACGAAGCCTTTTCTGGCCATCTAGCTGAAACAGATTTTATTTGACTTTATATCTTTGTAGACCATTATTGCTAGAATCATCCACATTTGCACATTAACACAGCATGTTGTCCACATATTTTAACTCCTCAATGGTATTGAGAGCTTGTTTAGGACATGTATTAGATCTTTACTGTTCTCCACATGTCTAGCACACTGCAGAACTCATGATAAAAATAAAATACTTTTAGAATTATGTAAAATAAAGTTGAAAACAAGGTTTAAGTCTAAAATAAGTGGAAGAATGAAATATGATTAGTTTGTTAATTTAAACTCACTGACTAAATACTATACATCTATATGTATATATGAACAAACATATATACATATATATATATATATATATATATATATATATAGATCTGGAGTTATTACCCATTATAGAAAAAATACACACACACACACACACATATATATGTATATATATATATATATATACACACACATATTACATAAAAGTTAATCATTTTATTTTTATCAATCTAATTGGAGCAGTTGCTGTTAAAAGTTGAATATACTACTACCTAAAATAAAAATGCCTGTAAGATTTAACATTTTTTTATATTAGAGGAAAATGAAAAATTATGAAATGAATAAAAAATAGTAAAAAATTTCTAAAACAAGTTAGATACATGAAAAAATAACAAAGAAAAACAGTAGAAGAGACAGACCTGCATGTCTTCTCCTTGTGGAGTCCACTTCTTCTGTGGTCACATCGTGTTATGGACAGACATAGACAAAGGAGATGAGTGTGAGTGGATGTACTCAACAGGTAAAAAGTGACACTGAAGGAAAGGGCCCCAAATCATTTTGAGAAAGAATCCTGTACACAGTTGTAGGGAAGATACAATAAAATACGTACCATATTAAAAAAAATTCTTGAAAAAGAATACGGAAAAAATGATGGAGAATTGGTTAAGCTATTATGGACTAGCAGAATCAGAAAAATAAAGTTAGTGTAGAAATAAAGAAGATTCAAAAGTTTACAATTATTTACAGACAGCCAATCCTGAACACTGACGCTGAAGAAAGATACCATTAGTGAAAACAATGTTACTTGTATGACCATATTGTTCGCGACATTCCTGAGTCCATTTAAAATCTGTGAAAATGCTTTTAGAATTTTTATTTATCATTTAAAGAAAATAATTTAATTGAATAAACTTTAAAAAGAACATTAAAAATAGTTCCAACAGATTTCTGTGCCTTTCAAGTTTCCCAAATTGATGAGTGCACAGATGGGCCATCAGGCCAATATTCCTCCAAATTACTTCACTACAGCAAAATATTACCATAAAACATTATATTATAAAATATAGAGAGTAAAAACTAAAAGACTCATTATAAAAAGAGTACCTGAACTATACGGCTTTATCTAAATATTAAAAATTCAATGAACCTTAAATTTAAACAAATCTTATTTGATCATATTCCCTTATAATACCTATTTATTCAGAAAATTCTTACAGACGCCACATAACACATCACGGACATCTCTATTCAAATTTGCCCATCAAAATCCAACATCTACTATAATAGATATGGCACACATTTTGGAAACACTTCCTTCTCCACTGCTAGTGGAATTCAGAAGACATTTTATACAGTGATTGAAAGCAGGAAACACCTGCTAAACTCAGCATTCTAGGAAAAAAAAAATTCTTCCAAAGATGTTAGTGAGTTAGTATGACTGACACGGATAAACACTATAATACAAAACCAAAATCTCCTATTTAATTAATACTCAGTTTTGAGTCAGGTACCATAAAATTCTTAAATCAAAACACCAAATTCACTTCTGCAATGGTTATATCATAGTTTTTGAGAGCTATATAGAAAAACATATCAAAATATGCTTGGAATATTGATATATTGAAATTATAACTCTTGAGAGAATTCTTTCCTATAACAAATTTATTTCCTTTTTTGAATAGTGAGAAAATGAAAACTTTCCACTAGGAAAAGATGCTAAGATAACCAAAACTTGTTTCCTTAGATAAAAGAGAAATCCTAGTATGAATTATAGAGAACTGTAAAGGAATGACACATTTTGAAATTTAACAATGTCATTTTGATTATTGTTTGAGCACATCTTTGATCTATTCAAAGTTGGACACTAAATTTCATCATAATTATATTACAAACCAGACTGTGTTGATAGGATTGACCACTAGGAAAAGTATTATTCTCCTGAAATTTACTCTATACATTAATATATGTCATATTTTGTTTTCCATCCCCAGTCCACCCACTTCTCAAAGATAGAAAAATCAGAGATATAGTAATAACACAGTTTAATTCTGAATTGTATTATATCTCGTATTATTTCTCATATGCAAAATTTGTCTATATACATATTTACCATACTATTAAAATAATTTCCTTACATGTTAAACTGAAATTGATATGAATTGGATAAAATGACTGCTTAGGTATATTCCTTCTCTAAGAAAAAATTTTGTTATTATTACTATTATTTTTTGCAGAAAATGTAAACACAACATAAATAAGTGAAGCTCTTTCTCTACCTAGCATTTTTCTGTATCTTGAATTATTTTATAGTGACATTGAGGCAATGTTCTTCATGTTATATAGATTCAAAACATTCAAAATTCTTCTCCACTCATCCATTCATTAATTACAGAGAATAACTGAGGCACACAGAGTTCAAGTGACTTACCCAAGGTCACACAACAAGTTCAGTGGCAGAACCAGAAAGAGAACAGAGGTCTCCTGATTACCAGGTCAACTTTCTTTCTACCAGATGCTATATGACCCAATAAAAACACGTGAAATAAGAAGTCAAGCAAAGAAAAAAACAAAAAAAAATCTTCTCAGGGTGGCACCTGATCTGGACATTTTATTATATATTATTTAGTTAGAATTTTTTTTTTACAAAAAGGTAACTGCCACAGCTATGCAAGTAATTCACTAATGTTTTTACTCTTGTGAGAAATATGATAACACTTAGCACTGGTAATTTAATTTTTTAATAAAATAATACAAAATTTATTTTACATAAAAGGATGAAAATGAAAGATTTGACAATGATCTCACTACTAACTGAAAGTTCCCATTAAATCATTTTTCCATCATTTATGTGAAGATGATCCGTTAATAGGTCATAACCATTCTTATGTAAAAATCACTTAATTTTAATTAGCAGATAGAATATTCTTTAAATCATAAAATCTCAATAATTTACAGTTATACCAAATATGTTTTTTTTTAAATTTGGCTTTCTTGTCTTCCTTGTTGTTAGAATTTGTATTATACATTATTTGTATTAAAACAGCCTCATTTTAAAAGAAAAACTTGTAGTCAGCATCATTTAAGCAGCCAGGTCTTATTTAAATGGCAATAAACTGTAAATATTTAATTCACATATACAACTGAAATGAGCTGCAGACTTCTGTAAGCCTTGAAGAAGCTAAGAGTAACTGCCTCCACAATTCCTATCTCTCTGCTTTTCCTTTGATCATTACTATGCCACAAACATTCTACTTTTCAGTGCTGTTTTCATGGCCGTTCTAATGAGAACTCTTTCTAACGCTTCCTTTAACCAATAACCAGTTAGATAGTAAGAAGTTAAGGAATAGTAAAAGTATACCCTCTCTTTGGTATCTGTTACTGTCATAGTTATGGCTGAATCGTAGTTTTAGTTTTAGACTTAGAAAATATAAACACTTTGCAGAGAGAATATACAGTTTTTTTTTTTTTTTGGTTCTTTCCATCATATGAGCCAACAAAGGAGAAATAAAATATTTTCATATATTATATCGAAAAAGACCTTCATAAGATATGATGAATACTTCATAAGCCCCATAATATCATTTCATCACTTATGGTAAATTATTTTTGAGAAGTGCTTTTAAACTTAGGTGCATCAAGGTGCAAACTATAAAAGAATGGGGTTTTAATCAAGCAAAGTAATACAATATCTATATGTTTATCTATTTACTTATCTACCTACCTACCACTTAAAGCTGTTGTATTTTTGGTCCTTAAAATTAAAAAAAATCTACTGAAGATAAATAGATATATAATTACTTTCATTGATTTATTTGGTAAAAAAGTAAGTTTGTAAGAATGTATATGATGCCAAATTTTATGCAAAATTTTGTACAAACCAAAAATTTTCTCTTGCTAATATAATGTATTAACTATTATTATATTTCAACTTAATACACCTCAAGTTCAAAAAGAAATATTAATCTGTAATCAACTTAATTTTTAAAAGGCATGTACATGGGTCTGTTTATCTACAAATACAGTTTTTACCAAGTGTGTATGATATCTATTTGAAACCCATTGATGGCTAATGTTCTTTCTCATTTATCACCATTTACAACAGACATAAGGTCCTATTATCAGATGTAATTGTACTTGAGTAAATACATGTCCTTCAGGAGAAAGCATTCTGTTAAAGATTCCTGACAACGAAACAGAAGCCTTAATACTTTAAAACAGAACTTTCATATAATTAAAAACTAATCATATTATGAGGGCTTTTTAAAGATCATAGAGTCTTAGGATGTCCCTTTGGGGTAAGGAGAGATACCTTTCAAAATGAAGCCTAAATAAGCAACTACTTCGTGGGAGAGCCTCAATGGCGTACAAAGATCAGGATGGATGTAGAATATAAAAACAAAATGTTTACCAAATTTACAGATTTCAAACTAAAACTCACCACTGTGACAAAATCTTGTTGAAGAATTCCTCAACCAAGTGATCTGAGCTTATTTTTTAAACTTAATTATTACTTTCTGTAATTTTGTCAGCAACCCTAAAATTATTGAATATTTACAATAACTTCTACCTCTTAAAATAAGCAAGGTACAATCTTTTAAAATATTTTGCTGTTTTTAAAAACTCACTAATAAAAATGTTTATCTTTTAAACTTCTTCTTTCCTAGCTGTACTGTTTTTTACTGATTCTGTCCTTGAGGTCTGACACATAATGCAATTTTAAATACATTAGAAAAATATACTCAGAGAATGTATTGATGGAATTTAAAATAACTGACTTTCAAAATACATCACACTATTTATCATAAACACAATAGTCATTGAATTACAGCTTGGCCTTATAAGCCTCTCTGTGTGTTCAGAGGAAACTGAACTAACTTTAAATAAGCAACTAAACTCATAAATCATGAAATTTCACTTTATTGATAGGAAAACATAGTTGTTAACAAAGAATTCTATATTTACATCTGAAGGTATCAATAGTATTTAATTCTGAAATTCCATCAGTTGACTTGTCTTGCATAAAATATTTACTTTGTCTAATATCACTTTTTTTCTTTCAAAAATAAAATTCATTTATTCTACAACAATCTGGAAATTACCAGCTTCTAATACTGACCAAGATCATAATCTTGATTCTCTTTTCCAGATTAGATGGATTGGACTAGCTTCTAACTAGAAGACTAATTTAGATTATTGATTTAGATGGAAATACATTGTTTCCACCTTTAAGAAAAGTCAAAGTACTCAAAAATAAAAGGAAGCAAAAGTCCAATACATCAAAATACTAAAAAAATGTTAAGTATTAAATTCACTAACAAAACACATCTTTGAATATTTACTTTTTCTTAAAATAAATTTCATAAAGCATAAATCCAAAGGTAGAAGAAAAAAAATCCCTACCTTCACCACAGTTACAGATCCACAAAGAATACAAAATGGAAATGTCCATGTT